CAGAGCAGCAAAAAAATCTTGATTTTTTTTTTTTTGGAATGTTCATGACTGTTTAAATAAAGGAAAAAACATGTATATTCTTGAAATGTGTAATAGGAGTTTGGACACAGCGATATATCAGTCAATCTCTAATTGTAATATGCATTATCCACCAGAACGTTGTAATATAAATAGCTTATATCATGCATACTTAAGTACATAAGCGTGCATGACATAAACGTGTTGCTGACTCTGTCTCTGTCTCTCTGATGTCAGTGTGTCCAGCTGGATGGAAGCCTGGCAGTGATACGGTAAGATTTCAGTGTGTGTGTGTGTGTGTGTGTGTATGGTCTCAGGTTACAGTATCTCTCCTCTTTCCGCTCAGATTATCCCAGACCCCGCAGGCAAACACAAGTACTTTGATAAACTCAACTGAGCTGAATGTTTTCACTACACGTGTTTGTTCTGATGACGGTTTCTGAAGCACAGAATAAAAGGAGAGTTTTGATAAACATGTAGTCCTGTTTCGTCCCTGCAATGTGTGTCTGATTGTTTGTGTCATTGAAAATGTCATAGAAATGATGGAAATGTTAAAAGCAGTGGAAATTTCTATTGAGAATGTCTAGATAGAAACTGCACTGCAAAAATGACTTTCCTCCTCAGTATTTTTGACTTGTTTTCCAGTACAAATATTCTTAAGTCTAAATATTTTTAAATCAAGATACATTTACAAGCAAAATGACACATTAAGTCGTTTTCAAAAAAACAAAAACATTAATTGAATTTTTGCTTATAACAAGAAAAAAAATATGCCAATAGGGTAATAAAAATAATTTAGTTTACCCTTTGAATTAAGTTTCTTTTTCTTGACCACATTGGCAGATTTTTTTTTCCTTTCATACATTTAGAAGACACAAAAAACAGACATTATTTTGCTTCTCATCTTATCTTCATTTAAGAATGTTTAGATATTTGTTCTGGAAAACTAGACAAAATTGCCAAGTAATAAAATAATTTTTGCAGTGTGCATTAAAACCTTTAAGTTTAAAAAATAAATATAAGTAATATATATCTATATTACTTGTAGACAATTTTGTGTTATTGGAGATATTTGTATCAGGGTTATTATAGTAAACAAACCATAAAAAACTTTTGTTAACTGAAATATAAGTTTGTTTCCTTTATTTATTTTTTATTCCAGCTAGTTGCTGAGGAAACTTCACATTTTCATTTACATAATTAACTTTATGTACTAAAATAACAAAAACTAAAACTAATAAAAACTGTATAGAAATATTAAATAATGACCAAATTACTAAAATTTAAAAATGGAAAATCTAAAATTTAAAAGAATTCAAACTATTAACAAAAACGCTAATAGCTTCATAATGATACTAAGACAATGAAATGTGTGAAATGGTTTTAAATCTATTAACTCTACAGATTGCTATCTGAAATACAAATGAAAATCTTTCCCAATGATAGTTTTAAATTATTAGCAATGGAAATTCATTGGTTAAAGATGTGAGAATCCTGAATCTGCAAACAAGCATACAGAATGTGAACTGATTCGTCTGACACTAGAGGGCGATGTAGAATAAGCTTTTATAGCACAACCCGAACAAAACAGGTGTTTTTCTGAAATTACATGTGTAGAAAATCAGCAGGGTGATGCTTTGCAGCTGCTGTCATTGCAATACATTTGAACTGTGTTGAGACCGGAAACATTGGACTGTTTTTAAGGAAAGGCCTGTATTACTGCAAACATGCACAGCTGCAATAATAGTGTCACGCTGCTAAAGACTAGATAAGGCTGTTTCTTGACCCCGTCCCAGACAGATGTTAAGGCCAAAGTGCAAATGTGTGAACTGCCAGACAATAAAGTTATGCATGTGGGACTATTATACAATTATTGATTTAACTATTTGATTCTTTAATAATAGAATATTATAATCTGAAAAAACAAAATACATTTTTGCCTCAGAATTTGCATCAGTTGGTCATTTTTTGTCTTTTGTTTTTTCAGCACTGCTGAAAATGAATATAGAAATAGTAAGAACAAAGGGGCCAGTTTCTTTTGTTTTGCATGGGCGGTGGAAACGTTTGCTCCCCAGAGAGCTGATTTTACTGTAATGGTCTGTGTTTTTGTGTGTGCAGCAAAGGTCAGTCACATGTTTGGGTCAAAGGTGTGGTGCAAAAACTCTGGAAAATGTTCCATGAATATGCTGTCGGTGTCATGTGTCACAACAAATGGACAAATCAGCATTTAAAGTCACTCAGTGCAGGATATTATGTTGTAATATTAGCTATATTAATACATTAATATGTCATCCAGCTGCATGTGCAAATAGGTTTCCATCATCTGCACCCTAGTTATTTTTAACATCTTTTTGTTTAAAGTATATATGAAAATATTTGCAGAAACACTTGATCAGCTTGAACTGTCATACCATTGAAGGTGAAATTACTAATTAAATAAAATATATTAAATTATGAAATTATTATTAATGTGAAATTACTATTAGGTCCTTCAAGGTATCTTGGAGAGGTGAGGTGTCCAAGTCGCAACATCTAGCTACTGGGGTGCCTCAGGGCTCAGTACTTGGACCACTTCTCTTCTCTGTCTACATGGCAGAGGTTCCATCACTAGGTTCTGTCATTCAGAAACATGGCTTTTCATATCACTGCTATGCTGATGACACTCAACTCTACCTCTCATTCCATCCTGATGATCCGACGATAGCTGCTCGCATCTCAGCATGTCTAACAGACATTTCTTGTTGGATGACGGACCATCACCTTCAACTCAACCTGGCTAAGACAGAACTGCTTGTGGTTTCAACAAATCCATCACTTTATCAAAATTTCACCATCCAGTTAGGCTCATCAACCATAACTCCTTCAAAAACAGCTAGAAACCTTGGAGTTGTGATTGATGATAAGCTGAATTTCCCAGACCACATTGCTAAAACTGCCCGGTCGTGCAGATTTGCTTTATACAACATTAGGAAGATCAGGTCCTTTCTTTCAGAACATGCAACACAACTCCTTGTTCAAGCTCTTGTTCTAT